AGTTCCAGCTTTCTTCATCTGTCTTGAGACTAATTTTTAAATTTATAGGCTGTCATGGATACAAGCCTCAGCTATATCCAAATGTGACCGAGTTGCAGATAAACGAAGGAGAATCTCTAAACGTTACATGCACAAGCAATGGCTATGTTTATTTTTATTTTCCTACTAGCAATACACAGAGTAGAGTAAGTTAAATAACTTGAATACTTTTTATGATTGAAAAGATTGTAATAAAAGTTTGTTTAAATAATACCATGACCCCTAATTTTCACATTAAATAAAGACAACCTCTCAACCCGATATTATACCAGAAGGCAGGAGCACCAACAAGACATTTATTAGATCATCAACTGTTTTTGGAGACACTGGCTGGTATTGTTGCGCTGATGAAAGCGAACGAATAACAAGTATGACGGTGAAAGATCACAATGATCCGAAAGTCACTTGGATGTACGTTTATGTTAAATGTAAGAGTAGTGAAAGTACTTATTTAATAAAAATAAAATTATGTTGTAGGTGAACTTTTGGTAATTATTGAGCTTTGTAGATTTGGAAATCTTCAAAGCTATCTCGTGCGTCATCAAAAAAATTATATTAACCAAATTGAACCAACTACAGGTAAAATCGACACTTCTATGGGAAAAAATTTGAAGAGGTAACAATTTTACTGCTTGTACTTTTTATTAAAATTTCTAAGCTACGGAATGTTTTATTGACAAAAATTATTTTTAATAAAGCGTGATCCTATTAGTCCCTTAGAGTGCTAGCACATAAAATCACGTAAAACGTATTACGTATCGCACAAAATTATAGGATCAGGTGAAGTTAGGTGAGGTACGCTTTCTGAAAAAAAATTTGTCATCGTGCACATGGTAGTAAAAATTCGCGCGTAAGTGTTCACAGCTAGTATTTGGTTGGCAAGACACATGCTATCTCTCTCGCACTTATGTCAAAAATTAAGTTACGTGCGTATTTTTTTACTCATGTGCACGATGGTAAATTTTTTTGCGTAAAGCGTAAATAAAGTACGCAACCTGTAAATACAGTCAGTAGCTAATGTCTACAATAACAATTAAAGCGTCATTTGTATAATTCATTAGATTTTTGACACCAATATAAACAAATCCTAAGACCTTTAAAAAATTATAGAAAGTCTTATCGACCTTTGCAATAACCCAATATCGCAAAGAAAAAGTAAGAAGTGTTATGATTGAACTGTATGAAATTCGTATACGGCAATCCATATTGACACCTTAACATAAGAGATGACAAAAGTTTTGTGAGGTAGCTCCCTTGTCTACATATGATAATAAAAAGTTTAACAGTAATATTAACGAAACCCCAGTACAGCCAAGTGTAGCCTAGGCAGCCAAAGTCCAAACGCAGTCGACCACCCATACCTACATAGACATTCATGTACACCTAGCCAAAGTACATTTTTACATTCTTTGCGTATACGGAGTACTTGTTATACAGTCGAAATTAAATTATCTTATTACTCTTGATAAGAGTCTCCAGAGGTAGAAGAGAAGGCTAGTGAGGATATTCAGTAGAAATGTTCGTCTTTAAAAATTAACGCGTATCAGTAACAAAAAATAAGGAGCAAAAAAAATTTCACTCTCTCTCTTAGAAAATATATCGAGAAAACTACTCACTACATACACTCTCCAGCGTGGCATTAGAAACAAGAAAAATTATTCTATAAGAACCTTGTAATAGCTTAGCTCAGATATTTCAATTTTCTTTAGAAAATTCATAAGTCACTCATTGTCTAATGCTATTCAATAAGAGCTTATGTTGAAAATTGAGACTTTAAGTAAAATTTTCTCGACAGGTTTGAAGTATGAAAAAAAATAGCAATGAATTTAATGGATCAAATCTACGAATTAAAACATATATTATTACGTATAATTTAACAAAGAAGATATCTTAAATAACCTCTTGCTTTAGTACCGTACTTCTGACAATGTTATTTGTTATTGGACTGGAACTTAAAGACAATGAGATATTTTTTTTTTACTATTAATATCTCGTACAAAAACAATTACTAATAGCATAATGAATTTTTCACCAGACCTTACATTTAACATTAACTAGTTTATACAGACTATGTTTCACATAACAAATCACTACATCCTTACTTTTACATAATATCTTTACTTTATACCTGTATTTAGATGAACCATAAAACAAATAGTGCATAATAATAAAAAGATACCAATACAATAAATGATTAAGTTAAAAAAATACGAAGTAATTTATGATTTCTAACAATTAGTAATGTTTACCCTGTATCCAAGAAATGATAAAATTTGATAGGTTGTTAACCACGTTGTTAGCTCTGGAACTTATTTAATACATCAAACAAAACACAAAACCTGTTTTTGTAACCTATAAATTGTAAATGTCACGAACAAAACAAATTTTTTTGGCCTACAGAAAAAGACACGAGATCTATGAAAGTTTATTTACCGCCTTGTCTGACAGCAGTCCAAACGATAAGCACACCATTCACTATTCAGAAACTGCGAAGTTCAGTGGCTCGATTGAATCCAGTGATGATTTTATGGATGAAGACTCTGAGCCAGGTTGGCGTTCTAATTACGAAGGTGATTACGTAGAAGAAGACTTGTCGTTTCTTTGCACTGAGGATCTTTTGTTATGGGCTTATCAGGTGGCAAATGGCATGAAGTTTCTTTCAGAAAAAAAGGCAAGCACTTATCATGTGCATACATATACAAACTTATTGCTTACCTACTTATAATTACGCATTATCTAACTGTAGTTTTTTGATGCTAATTCTTTTTGCAGGTGCTGCACTGTGACTTGGCTGCAAGAAATATACTGTTAGCAGAGAACAACATCGTCAAGATCTGCGATTTCGGTTTAGCCAAGACATTGTACAAGGACGAAAACTATAAGAAGCAATGCGATGGAAAGTTACCCATAAGGTGGATGGCCATTGAGTCCATCAGAGACGGAGTTTTTTCCACTATGTCAGATGTGTGGTCATTTGGTGTAGTTCTATGGGAACTTTTCACCCTTGGAGAAATACCTTACGCAGGTGTAGGATTCGAAGTAATGTATCAGAAATTAGTCAGGGGATACAGAATGACTCAGCCTGCTTATGCTACCGATGACATGTGAATAAAATTTTTTACAATAAGTTTGTTTCTCAAAATCTGGCACTTTATTTCCTTGATTTTTTTTAGATACAATATTATGCTCCATTGCTGGGAGGAAGAGCCAACATTGAGACCGTCTTTTACAATGTTGGTTGAAAGGATTGGAAAACTTTTACAAAATGATATCAAAACTCATTTTCTAAGAATTTATCATGAATATGAGAATTTTGATAAAGAAAGCCAGTTGGAAAAAAAAGATGACAATCAAGCAACAACATCATTGTCTGAAGATATGACAATTCCACTCAACCGGCGTAACTATGTTCATACGTTGCCTTAAATTGCAAACCTGTCATACATAAACGTGCAGTATACCATTACTTTAACTTATAATGCCAATGTTTTATTAGTTTTTCATAAAAATTTCAAGAGCAAGTGCATAAATCCAGAAGAAAGTAGTTGCTTAGTTAGAGTTTAATAAAATAAATGTAATACAATGCAATCATACTCAACTTTGAAACTATTTGATTTTTCATTCTTAAAAACACTTTTCTTAGCAAAACTAATCTTTAAGAGTGTGCTGACAATATACGTCAACTGACCACTGGTGTATCTGTCAGAGGTGACGAGAGTAGGTACATAATAATTGAAAATTTAAATAAATGCAAGTACGTATAATTTACTTTGGCACAGAGTAATACAAAGAATATTGCATACGATGATTTTAAACATACGTATGTGGTGAAAAGAATTACTTACGCTTTTAATTTATTATTAATGTTTTGAAATTCGGCCTGTTACAATAAACCTCTTTGTTATAGTATTACTTTTACAGATAATTTGTTTATAATAGTACTTAGTTATATTTCATTTTTATTTTTTTTATTTTTTTATTAACTCAATCCTTGACAAACTTAAGTAACGTTGAGGGAGACATAAACATTTTTTAGTACGTGTAAAACCTATACAGAATCATGCTTACGTCATATATCTGGTATATAATGCAAAAGCTCTAAATAGATATTTTTTCCTATTTCCATGCTCATAACACATATTTTTTAATCGCTAAGGTTTCGAGTAATCTAATCATTAAATAGTAACAGCTTAGTAACAAAGCGACGCTGGTAGAAACAACGAAGTAGAGTAGACTTATGATAAGGACACGGAACAAACATCCGATGGTAAGTTCTCTTTTTACATTTCCGTAGGAACTTTCTTAATTGCCGTTCAGCAAATCACAATCATACAGCTTTGAATAGTGGGTGACAAGCAATATTCATTGTCTAGTATCTCTACATACCATAGGCTTTACACAAATAAACGATACAACTACATGTCAAGTAATTTCAAGAGATTCCTTACATTTATTGACACTGTTTATGGCTT